CCTGTAGTCCCAGCTACCAGGAGGCTGAGGCAGGAGGATTGCTTGAGCCCAGGAGTGTGAGGTTGCTGTGAGCTAGGCTGACGCCACAGCACTCTAGCCTGGGCAAAAGAGTGAGACTCTGTCTCAAAAAAAAAAAAACAAAAACAATGATCTCTGGGTAACTGGGTCCTCATGTAGCCTACAGTTTGGCTAAGAGGACATCTACTGATATCCCAGGGGCCTCAGGACAATTAGAGATCTTACCGAGACAGCTGGTTGTTGGTTTTCTTTCTTCCACTTTGTCATCATCGGTCTAAGGACCTCTTTATCTCTCACCAAATTAAAAACGAAAGACAGTAAGCATTTTTTTATTTGAGGCTGAGTCTCACCCTGTCGCCCAGATTAGAGTACACTGGCCTAATCTTAGCTCACTGTAACCTTCAACTCCTGGCCTCAAGCAATCCTTCCACCTCGGCCTCCCAAAGCGCTGGGATTACAGGTGTCAGCCATTGTGCCTGGCTGCAAATTTTCATTTTAAAAATTCTGCCAAATATAGGAAGATCACTTGACCCAGGAGTTTGAAGGTGCAGTGAACTATGATTGCACCACTGCACTCTAGCCTGGGCAACAGAGTGAGACCTTGTCTCAAAAAAAAAAAGAAAAGAAAAGAAAAGAAATTCTGCCAAGTATATTCAACATTCATGTTCCTCCTATTAAGGCAGTTACTACTTATAAGGAGGAATAATTACAGATGGAGGTTTCTTTAATGCTAAAGTCTTTGTGTTCATGCATAAGTGGGAAAGTAATATGGAATCCAAGCAAAACTGCATCATATAGGACTAAATAAGAGTTTAGGAGATTAACACCTAAAGAACTTTTCAACAAATGTAGGATGAGTTTTAATGTCTCTGAATAAAACACCTATCATGCAACATAATAAATTATATTCTCTCCCTGATGCTGCACACGCATCAGCCATTCATACATTTCTGTAGTTTCCCACCAGATTCCTAAAGTACTAGAACTGTATTTTAACTGCTTTCGTACTCATTTGCTTCTTCAGAAGGTTTGGCACAAAATGTGGAGAATGAACATGTTGTAATACAGTTTAGAAATGTAATAAAATTTTGTCAAATGGCATTAATCATGTTCTATATATCTCTATTAATATTATGGAACAAAAGAAAAAAAGATAATCTTCACACTTTGCTCTATCATCTGTTCCAACAGCAATTATATTTGTTTGCTCTTGCTCCAAACTATTGAGTACAGAGAATTTCATTCATTGTACAATATAAGCAATATTAGAAAATAGTTTCTCACTTATATATAAATACATAAACAAAAAGAATAAGGAAGAAATTATAATCTGTTAGTCTCAGTTCTTACATATCATCCATTTTGCAGGAGCTCCCTTTCTTCAAACTTTCCATGTTTCAGTTGCTGTGTCAGTAACTACACTAAATAACAGCAAAGGTTATTGACAAAGATAAACAATGAAAACAGAAGATTACCATCACTCTCCATCATTACCAGCAAGAGTTTTGTTATTGGCCAACACACTGACAAAATTCCTACCTCAAAGATTTGTTCAAAATTCTGAAACTCCTGTAATCTTGCCTGAAATCCTTCAGCAAGTGCCCCACCTGTAATACACAGGCAAAGATTTTAAAACCTGGCATATAAACAAGGTAAGATTTCTGGATTTTATAACCCATTTTTATATTTAAAAAGGAACCCTATAATTAATACATACCACCTTCTGGCATCCCCTGTGCTTTGTGTTTTCTGGCACTAAGAACTTCCTTTGCCGAAACGAAGAAGATACGATTTCGTGCTTCTAAAGAATCAACAACTTTAAGCTCCTCCACCAAGAAATGTAAGCACCTTTCCATGTGCTGTCTGCGTACCTAGAGAGAAAGGAAGAGTATTCAAAGAATCCTAGTAAGTTAAGCAAATATAATGATAACCAACAACTATGGCTTATACTAAACTTCATTTATAGTAATATTATAGCAAGTTTCCATATACTTAACAAATCCAAGAAATTCTAACAAATGAAGTTTCACACTTGATGATAGGAATCTTTTTCTTAATGATTCTTCTTTTCGAATCTTTATTTAAAATTTTGATGAACCATCAATTACAATATAACCACTATAAAATATCATAGACAAATATCAATACTTAATGGCATGAAAAAAGGTCTCAGTTCTATATTAAGAACATATATGATACTATAGTGGTAGGCAGGCAACCCCCATTAGAATGGAGAATATTTGTATTTCTTTCTTATTATGCTTTTCTTACTTTCCAAATTATCTGCAATAAAGTTATTAATACCTTTGAAATCAGAAAATAAGTGCTATAATAAATCTATTTTTATTTCTTCTTAAAAACAATGGGAATTAAGGTTGAGGAGAATGCATTAACCAGGAATTCAAATTGCAATGTTGGGTTTAAAATTAGCACTTGGGTATTAAAGTGAGGACTAAGAGTTAGAAGTTAGGGTTCAGTACTAGCCTTCAGCACGTGGCTGTAAGAGACTTCTACATTAAGACTTAAAAAGATTAAGCTAAATAGGAATGCCAAACCATTCTGGGAAGAACAATTTGTGAGACCCCAATTTTAAAGAGTATGATTACGAACCAATAGTTAGTAATAGGATATAAAACTTTATGTACCACCCTAAACAACACAGTGAGATCCCATCTCTACAAAAAAAAAAAAAATCAGCCAGGTTTGGTGGCGTGCACCACCTGTAGTCCCACCTACTCAGGAGGCTGAGGCAGGAGGACTGCTTAAGCCCAGGAGTCTGACGCTGCAGTGGGCTATGATGACACCACTGCACTCTAGCCCAGGCCAACAGAGCAAGACCCTGATAAGCAAAATTCCAATGAGGGGGAAATGAAAGCAAATAATCCAACATGTGAACAGTGACAGGATAGTTTAAGTGTTTTTATCTCATTTTCTAAATTTTCTATAATTAACCTATACTACTACAATAAACCTATACTATTATTAAAAATCAGAAAAAAGTAGTAACAAGCAAACTAAATAACTTATTTATAGACTAACTGCCAGATATTCTAATCTTTTTAAAAAGTTTCTACAACCACTGGTTTAACTAAAATGCCAAAAAAAAAAAAAAAAGTGTTGGTGAGTATGTAAATCACCTGAAACTCTCAATCTGCTGACGGAAATATACACTGGTACAAATGCTTTAGAGAACTCTTGAGCTGTGTTTACTAAAACTGAACATATTCTTAACCTGTAATCCAGTAATTCTACCTATAAATATACATAACCACTGTTTACTGACCCTGGCATTAGTGACATTTTAGACCAGCTGAAACTTTGTTTGGGGGGCTGTATTGTGTTACAGGATGTGAAATAGCGTCTCTAGCCTCTACTTACTAGATGCTAACAGCACAATACCTCAGTTGTGACAACCAAAAATATCTTCAGACATTGCCAAATATCCCTTGGGTGTCATAACTGCCCTACCCCTCCATAGAGAACCACTGGTATACACCTAACAAAAATGCATACATATGTACACCAAAAACGACATATATAATATGCACGGAAGCATTGCTCTTAATTGGTAAATACAGAAAATTAACCCAAATGCCCATGGCTAACAGAATAAATACATCAATTGTAATGTATTCACAGGATGGAATACTATACAGCAAGGAGAACACAACTATGCACAGTTTGTAAGCATATGACAAACATAATGTTAAATGAAAAAACCATATGCAAAGTCGATACTATATGACTCCATTACATAAAGATGAACAACCAGAAAGATCAACCTAAGTTGTTAGAAGTCATGATAAGTGGATAAGTTATCCTTGGGAGGTAGGACAGAGACTGGAAAGGGGCACAGGGAGGGATTCTGGGGTATTGGTAACGCTCTGCTTTTTGATCTGGATCCAGACACAGTTGTGACCAATTCGTGTTAAATTTGTAAAATTCACTGCGCTAGACATATAAGTAATGCACTTTTCTGTTAGGTATATTTCAATACAAAAAACAAAACAATCAAAAAAGATGTTTCGCCAGCCTGAGCAAGAGCGAGACCCCGCCTCTAC